AACTTTGCATGGTTGTAGCTTAGGGCATGTTAGTCAATATTAGGATCGGTGCCCACAGCTACCTCTTCAGGATTTGCAGCAACTGCTCGCTGAAGTTCTTCAACAACCTTCCATGATGGGTGCCCTGTGCTGAAAATTGCAATCCCTTGTTTTTGTGCCATTTTTTGATAAAAATCACATAAAAAGGCAAGTAGATGGAAAAAGAAACTGTATTAATACTATTATTATTGAAACCGATGACCAAAACACTGGTGGGTGCCCTGTGCTAAGACTATCAATTCCTTGTTTTTTTGCCACTATTTTAATGAAACATGAAAATGAAAAAAAAGAAATTGTATTATTATTAAAACCAATGACAAAAACAAGTCAACTAAATGGAAAATCCAAGGAAGATGTTTTCATATGCGTACTCAGTCCCAAATGGCATCTCAAGATGGCGGCTTGAAGGTGTCTTTCATGGACTGTAAGTATCTGCTAGAATAAATTGCCGTTTTTAAGGGAAATTGAGTACAATATGAATCACTACAGGTTTCAGAGAAGATCTGAGAATCCCATTGGCTTAACGGTACAAGCATAGAACGCTCCTTGAAAATGTACTAGAATTCAGGAAAGAGGACTGTTTTCCTGTTGCAATAAGTTCGATATTAAAATCAGTACAGTAGTAAAAATGCAAAGACGCAGCAATCCTGTCACCTCAAGTTCAGCAAGTCCAAGTTATAAAAAGCAAGAGAAAGGAAAAGCAAGTATGTTGAAGCAGACCAGAAACAGAAAGACAGGAAGTTGTAGATTGTGGTACCAAACGAGCTCGGAAGGTTGACACTAGTGAGACCGCAAAGTGTGTGACATGAAACGAAGATGATGGATTGAAAGCCGACAGAAACCTAAGACGGATTGCCAACGATTTACTGGACTATGGTCCTCCCAGAATATATGGTGGTGGTGTGATTGCCATAGATTCAAAATATAATATGCGCTGTTTAACTGACTTGTAAAATAGGCATACTTGTTAGAGGAACGCAAAAAGAAAAGTGAAGCAGCTTGGAAGGCCAAGGAAGACGAGGAATTATATAAATCAAGAGCTTTTTGTTGAACTCACTGAGTACATAGCAAATGCAGTGGACAATGATACACATTTCTTTCTACTTGCCGAACTTCATAAGCTTTATTCGTTACATACAAAGGCACACACTTTGCAATCCCACTAGTGTCAGTCTTCTAAGCTCGTTTGGTGCCACAATCTACAACTTGTTGTTTCTGGTCTGCTTCAACATGCTTTTTTCTCGTTTTTGCTTTGCTTTTTCTAACTTAGACGTAGACAGGATTGATGCCACTTTGCATTTGTTTACTACTGTAGTGATTTTAATATCAAACTTAATTGCAACAAGAACACAGTCCTCTTTCTTGAATTCTAGAATATTGTCAAGGAGCATTCTATAAATAATTGTACTGTTAAACCAGTGGGCTTCTCAGATCCTCTGTTTTCGATTCTCACCCTGGGTAAATATTTCAACAATCCCAACTAATTTCCATCTTGGTGTGTAGAAACGAGCTGAAACTCAATCACGATAAGACTGAAATCGTGCTTATCTTGTCGATGAACCATACTCGTCCACCCTTTAGCAGCTTCATTATCGGTAATGCAAGGCTAAGAACCACCGCCAGATTATCGTTGTACCAGCTCAGGAACTTATCAAAGATAAGAAAGGGTCTCACACAGGAGTTTAGCGAAATTGCTGTACATGCTTCAGGGGCGGATCCAGGATTTTTTTTAGGGGGGGTGCACTCGTCTCTTGCTCTACTTCAACATCAATAAACCATATAGTTCTGTTTTTTTTTTTGCAGAATACCAGTTGTATTAGAAAACCGCAGGTCATCTCAGGGAGGGGTGCGCACCCCCTGCACCCTCCCCCTAGATCCGCCCCTGTGCTTTTATTACATCTAAAATAGACTATTAATTGCAGTTTACTGCCCTCAGCATCGTTACTCGGACTTGTAAACTTTGTGAACACATTATTCATTTGACCTTCACTGGCCTCCTGTTAGCTATCATGTTCTTTTTAAACTTCTTTTGTCAGTTTTCAAATCACCTAATAACCTTCCACCTAGCTATCTAGCGGACAGACTTAGTTATCAAAGGCAATCCAGGAACTTGTGGTCTCCATCTCAGCAGCTGTTAGAACAACCTCGAAAACTCACGGGGCCAGGCTTTTTCAGAGTGCGCCCCTAAACTGCGGAACTCACTACCATTAGCTAGATTTGCGCAAGTCACCATCTTTAGCTAGTTTAAAGAAAAGATTGAGAACATATCTTTTCACGCAATTTTTAGACAGTAAGTCAATATTTTTGTAAAACGTCTTTAATATCTGCAGATCATATACCTAAACTTATCGAATGTATATTCTTTTTTTTGCATGACTTATTATCGTTATATACAAACTTTAATGGCAAAATAATTTTAAAACATATAAATTCTTGTTTCCTTCTCTTGTTCTTTGTGAATTGCAAATAGACTTTAATATATGTTGTTGCATGCTCGAGAAATAATTTTTTTTCCTCTTTAACATTGTACAGCACCTTGGCCATGAGCTCAGGATATGAGTGCTATAGAAAGAAGCCATTTTTCACTATTATTAATTTTAACCAGACGAGTACAAAAGTAAACTCAGTATAGTCATTCATAATCGGCACAAAATGTGAAGAGAAAATGTGGCTTTCGATAACAAATTTATCACCGCGAAGAGCTTAAAACTTCACTTAAACCAGCAGTGATTCAAATTGTACACAATTTCCCCTAAAAACGGCAATTTATTCTAGCAGATACTTACAGTCCATGAAAAGACACCTTCAAGCCGCCATCTTGAAATGCCATTTGGGACTGAATAATTTATGCGTCTGAGAACATCTTCCTTGGATTTTCCATTTAGTTGACTTGTTTTTGTCATTGGTTTTAATAATAATACAATTTCTTTTTTTTCCTTTTCATGTTTCATTAAAATAGTGGCAAAAAACAAGGAATTGATAGTCTTAGCACAGGGCACCCACCAGTGTGTATCATTATTGCTATATCATTAAGTTGACTTGTTTTAGTCATCGGTTTCTATAATAATAGTATAAATACAGTTTCCTTTTCCATCTACTTGCCTTTTTATGTGATTTCTATCAAAAAATGGCACAAAAACAAGGGATTGCAATTTTCAGCACAGGGCACCCATCATGGAAGGTTGTTGAAGAACTTCAGCGAGCAGTTGCTGCAAATCCTGAAGTGGTAGCTGTGGGCACCAATCCTAAAATTGACTAACATGCCCTAAGCTACAACCATGTAAAGTTTGGCGCTGTTGTCCGCTCTGTATAGATCTCGCTAAAATTTTGCACTATTATAAAGCCACCGGACTACAATAGAGGTGTAAGCATGTTTTAGCTTTGTTTTTAAACTATGAATTATTTTGAGTGAATAATAAAACAATTATTGAATTCAGCTTTCATATCATATGAAGAATTATGGAGATCTCGGAGGGTATTATCCACCTCGGCCTAAGGCCTCGACAGATAACACCCTCCTCAATCTCCATAATTCTTCATAAGATACTCAGCCTCATTCATTTATTGTTAATTAAAGTATGCATAAAATCGACAATTTAGAAATCAAGTCGCCATTTTTTTTTTCGCAGAGGTTCTCGTAGTAATGTGTACTTTCAATTAAATAATAAACATTATACACCATGGGTGCTTTAAGGCCTAATAACGGCAATGCCAATGAGTACGTCACTGGAAAATTGACTTCATGTCCTTTCAAACGTTTTCACAAGTTGTTCAGTTACTTAAACAACCCCAGGTAGGGGAGGTATCCCGCTTATGTGGGGTAACTGGCCTGTCCATATAACCTCTCCATTTAATTATGAGTTGATCATGTTTACATGATACTGTAGGTTGAGTGACCCACCCAGGCGGGTTGCCCGATCTGTCAGTCCAGGCACCCTCTCAGCCGGGATCTAATTTTGCCAAGTGAATGTTTCAAGTTGGGGTAACCCACCTAGCGGGCGTCAAATTCATGTTACATCAAATTCGCGCCAAATTCTGTTCTGACAAGTCAGTTCTAACATTGAAATTGAAAGCATCCCAAGTTTATAACCACAAACATCTATCCAAACATCTAAACTGCGGCCGAACGAATATAAAATTCTCTGAATGTGGCAGTAGGATAATTTCTCTAAGAGGCCAACTCTAGTTAAGGATGCTTTCATTCTTCTTCCTGGGGGTGTTGCTTATGCAACCTTTGACTGTTAAAGTAACGCTTAGCGTTTTTTCCCATTGTATACCTTGTTTCTGAAGAACTTCTACATTGGTGTATGACGTGGCAGGAAACAGAGAAATGTACTTTACATCTTGTGGAAAGTGCTATAACAAAAAAACAACAAAGAAAACTGTAACTTAGCCACTAAAGCTACATACATATATGTAAATTTTTCTTTAATACCTACTCACAATAACATAATTCCACTGTAGTTTAATTTCTTCAAGTTCTTTACGCAGTGCATTTCTAAAAGAAAGTAAACAAAATGACTTAGCAACAGAGAAAGTACTTCTTTAGAATATAATTTATAACAATATTATTAGATGGACCGTTAAACTTGTTTGCATTACTGTTGTCACTTACAGTAGTATATTGTGGACAGTTATGCAGTGTATAGCCTGGGACCAGGCTAGGTAAAAGGCACAAAAGTTGGTGAGTGAGGTGAGCTGGATGGCAGACTGGGGAAGGAAAAGGGTGGTGCCACCCTTTCCCCTCTCTTCAATCACCAATTTTTTTTATCCTTTTCCCCAACTGTGGAGCTTGGTTCCGGGCTATTGTATGTTTTGCTGGGTAGTTCATAAAGTTCAATCAGAAGAACACCAATTGGTAACAACACAGCTTTTATTACTGCAATATATTGACTGAAACTGTTATTTTATTGGTACAACAATAATAATTCACACTCCGTAATTGAGGCAAGCAGCACACTAATCTTTGGTTTTCCTGTGGTTCCTTGGGCATCCTGTTGCCATAAAGGTGTTACATCTCAATTCTAATGTCAGGATAATTCTTAGCAGACATGGCCAGTGGTTTCATTCTAACTTAATTTAAAATTGCAACACATCTTTTGCATCATTCTAATTCCACTAAGTTTTGAATATTGTGGCAGGTGCAAGCAGTTTCAAAATTATTTAATTAAGTGACTGTACACTGGCTAATAAAGACACAAATCACAAAGATTTCATGATTTTAGGACTCTCTATCTTGTAGTCCACAACTATCAATTGACCCGATACAAGGGTCTGTAATTAGCATACTAGTAATGTGTATATCAGTTCATAGCTTTTCAGATGATGTTTAACTGCCCAGCGTCTGCTCACAGTATTATACTTACAATATTTTTGGTAATCTCTGGTATATCTACTGCTAGTTTATTCTTTTCACAAAATCTTGCACTAACCTGCATGTCAACTTGATACAATTTACTGTATGCTCTTTAGGTACATACTGTATGTACAAGTTAAAGGGACACAGTCAGCTCATGCACATGTGCATTAAATACCATTTCTTAGCTGATTTGCATGTCACAAGATGCGCATGAAACAAAAACGTATCCGGAATACTCTGAACAAACCTTGTAGAGTTGAACTTGTTACAAGCCGCAATCGTGATTATAGGCCCTAAGCCACATCAGAGCACTCATTTTTTATATACCATTGAGAATTCACCGATGGATTTTTCAAGGGAAGCCAAATATCGACCAATACTTCTGAATTTGAACATCAGTAGAGGTGAGAAATTGCATGAAGTCTGGGTGATTGTACTGTGTGGAAGGTTCACGGTCGAGAACGCTTGATTTTCCCAATATATGTAACCTTCTCCATCCATTTTCCAAATATATATAATGATTACTTGCTCGTCAATGTTACTGATTTATTTCTCTTGTTATTTTGGTAAACGAAGGCGATTTCTCCCACCCGGCGCCTACGCGTTTCTAACCTCTTCTGTTCATGTTCCTTTGAATACTGTTTTAAACCAAATATGATAAAATAATGTAATAGGATGAGTAAAAGTTTGCTCGAAAAGAGATTTTCAGTAAAAGATCGAGGATCGAATGAAACACTAGGTAGGATTGAAGCGGATTTCTAAATGTATCGGACGTGTAGATTTGATTTCGGGTTAAGGTAAACGCTTTTCAAACTGTCAAAAGTAGTGTCCAGGTCAGCGTGGTCCCATAGCTGACTGTGTCCCTTTAACCCATTGACTCTATAGATTTGTTGATTTATACAAAAGACAGAAAATACTGGTGATAGCCTGTGGTCTAAAACCAACCCTTGTTACATTAGCCTACGTGCAGCCACACCCTTGGGGGGAGAGTGTGGCTACACACAGGCTATTGTTACATGTACAGGGTTGTCAACAAGAGCTGGGGGCTGGGTATTTCCTTCAGCTACAGACTATAAAGGCCTCTGGCTACTTTCATGGGAAAACAGAAGAAAAATAGAACCAAAAGAAAAAATCCCTATCTGTTTGATTCCCCACCTACTTGTTATATTTAAATGGCAACTTGAAATTCTGGTGACAACCCTGCCTATACATGTACCTACAGATAATGAGTAGAAAGTCTGACAAACCTTTCTTCATTTTCACTGCACTCTTTTAGCTCTCTCAGACAGGTTTTGTACTTCCTAAAGAGCTTTCTTTTCTCTAAAAATAAACCAATGTAGAAAGGAAAACATTGACTTAAATAAAACATTATATTAACCCATTCGCCCCTGAACCGCCCGTAACCGCCCGTGCGGATCCAGGTCCTTTCTACCCATTGTGACGTCATCAGTTTTAACGGTCAAGGACAACTTTCTTCACTAACTTGTGCAGAGTGAAGAGATCTTTCAAACCATACCAGAATGAGCACAATTCAGTCAAGGACACCGGAGAAACAAGCAAAAAACCACGTGACATTGACCTGAAAATCTCCATGAAAATCTTGTCCCATTACCCACCTACCTTTCCTTTCGCCTAATCCTAAGATCCTAAAAGCTTTCCTAAAAACTCTTCCCACCAAAATCAAGCCTACTAAATGCCCAGCAAGAGAAAAAAAAAATGAGGCAAGAAAAGCAAAAAAAGAAGGGAGGAGAGAAAGCGAAAAGTAAAAGTCAAGACTGCTGTGTCACTTTTAAACCCAAAAACTATGTCGAAATTTTGCTTTCTGCGCATGCCCGAACTTCGCAAGCTGATATTTTGCATCTGGATCGGAAGACCGCGAAGTGTTCGACCTGTAAACCAGTTTGTGGTAAGTTTTAGCTCTTTATAGCACAACAGTGACCAGAAAACCACTCGACTAGCTTCAAAACGCGTTTTTCGGCAAAATCTCTAGGAGCGAATGGGTTAATCACATCACAAAATGATTTTAGTATATAGGCAAGATTTAGACTCATTCACCGAAACGTCCTGAGAAAGGGTAAACCATGAAGTTAGCAGCAAGGTAGACAAATTAACTGCAATCATATTTTTTGACACACACCCATGACATGAATTCCTTCCCACCAATAAAAATGCCTGGAATATGCTTGCCAACAGTGGGACTTGCTTACATCAGCAGATTCTGCTAAAATATTTCATTTAGCTTCATTTCAGTTAGCTTTTGCAACTACTTCTGGTACCATTACTGAGCTATTGGCCAATTTGTTTCACCTGTCCCATGCAGTAACAGTACCAGAACTCTTTGTGAAAGTTAACTCGGTTCAGTTCCCGTCAAGTTTCTAAGGTGGCAAATAACATAAGGTTGCCAGGCCTTAAGGTATCTGCACTGGCAAATTTTGCACATTTTTGCATCATTTTTAGTGGTTATTTTATGGATACTATCTATACGTCACTACATTGACAGTATTCCTCAGTTCTTGAGGAACTAGAATATATCAAAATAAACTATGTTATGCCACCCAAAAGGTGTTAATTTAATTACCCCCTAGGGTGGCACGGAAAGAGAAAAATCAAAATTTCAGAAGAGTCCTTAGAGTTATTGTTAAAAAAGAAATGTAACACAAATAAGGACATAAGATAGAATAATTCTGCGTTTGACCACGACACAGCTCCAACTAATCCACCCTATAGGGTACAATTTGCTATTTTGTAATTTGATCCACATCAATAACTCAGCTGTACGGCAATTCTAACCTTTGGTCAAACACAGATCTGTTCATTAACATGCTCTTTGTGACATGCTCTTTGTGTATTTGCCAAATTTCACGAAGAAATAATGATCCATTCCTCCAAAAAACTGGTTCCCATAAGTCAAGGTAAATCGGTCACGGGGTAAATAACGCTTTTCCAGTGTAAAAAAGCTTATTTTCCTCTCAAAATCAACTGTTTTTGCTTGATACTACCATCACAGACCTTCTTGTCCGCCATTTTGAGTCACCGCTGTGTAAAATGCTCGTGGAAGCCTAAGAAAATGTCAAATGACCTCTCTATAGCCTTCTTGGATTTTGATACATGACCAGTTGCTAGGTGTGACACATTTGCGTTACTCAGTGTCAGCTATAATGCAGTGAAGCGCACTGAAGTATGAAGATTGAAGAAGAGTTTTATTCAAAATTGAAAAGAATTGCTTCTGTAAAGTGAAAGAAATTGGCAGAAAAAACAGACCAGAGGATTAGGGGCCAAGAAAATGTTTTACTCTCCCGGCAAAATTGTCAGAATATAACAGGTGAGAAGACACACCGATGTAATGTAAATTTAAAACAATAATAAGCCCTGGAAGACGGAGTATATTTCAAGAACATGACAAATATTGACAAGAAGCAAGTAATATTAGTCATCACAGCTTTAACAGAAGCAAGAAAAATCAAGTTGGACATACAGCGGCGGCAGTTTGTCAATGAATCCAAGCAGTAAATAGATTTTGTTCAGCACATCAATAGAACTTGATGCCGAAAAGAGGAGTCAAATTGCGCTCCTGCCGTCCTTTTTCTTAGTAACGGAAATGACAATTTTTCTTTAACTTCCAGTAAATCAGTCAACTTTTGAGTAGATTTTCTCTTAAATGCGAAGGTATATTCAAAAAAGAACACCAGATATGCATATTACATCATCTGAACTTAGTGTAGAAAGATTTTGAGGGCAAAATAAAATGTTGAAAATTTGCCGGTGCAGATACCTTAATATAAACTTAAGGTTGGCTACATTCACATATATTTTGATCTGATTCATCAGCACCCCTGTTACTTTCACAAATCAGTGGCACCCCTTGAGCAGCAAAGTTGTGACTTACCAAAAAATTTCACTTTCTTACATCGCTGAATAATTATTTTCTCTTTATCTTCCNTCAAGTTGGACATACAGCGGCGGCAGTTTGTCAATGAATCCAAGCAGTAAATAGATTTTGTTCAGCACATCAATAGAACTTGATGCCGAAAAGAGGAGTCAAATTGCGCTCCTGCCGTCCTTTTTCTTAGTAACGGAAATGACAATTTTTCTTTAACTTCCAGTAAATCAGTCAACTTTTGAGTAGATTTTCTCTTAAATGCGAAGGTATATTCAAAAAAGAACACCAGATATGCATATTACATCATCTGAACTTAGTGTAGAAAGATTTTGAGGGCAAAATAAAATGTTGAAAATTTGCCGGTGCAGATACCTTAATATAAACTTAAGGTTGGCTACATTCACATATATTTTGATCTGATTCATCAGCACCCCTGTTACTTTCACAAATCAGTGGCACCCCTTGAGCAGCAAAGTTGTGACTTACCAAAAAATTTCACTTTCTTACATCGCTGAATAATTATTTTCTCTTTATCTTCCTTAGCTTTGTCTTTGATGGTTTCTTTCAACACTTCAAGCATTCTTTCTTGTATGACTCGCACAGTGGCTGGCAGGTCAGACTATAACAACAACAACAACAACATAAAAAAAATGTTTATTAATGAGATCAGTGTTTTGTAAAACAAGCCTACAGCACCACAAACAACTATAATGAAAAGAATAATAATATATTATTTAGGAGGTATATCTCCCTCAAGGGTCAAAAGACATGTGAAGAGGGTCAACACTCTATTACAGTCAAACCCTACTTCATGCTTAATACAGACAACTCATTATTACCAACAGTTTGCTTTGTCCCTAGGGAAAGAAAGCCCTTATATCTTCTCTAAATTCAACCCCCTTAATACTGAAACTTAATGTGAACACTTTCTATGGCTTCGTCAGTGAACCCTTTAACAGGGTTTGACTTTGGTTCCTTTTAATTTTAATTAATTAACTAAATTTTTATGGTTTTGTGCACCAGGTTTCCATGACACCTACATCCAGGGCTTTCTGAGCTCATTTTTTTTTGTATCATTGCACACAATGGTATACATGTACAACTGTAACAAGATGTTACCATCAAGGTATTGCTCTGTAAGATTCTCTTCATTCCTGTTTCTATTCATTCTTCAAAAGATACTTCTGTCAGCAAGTTACTTCAAAGCTTGCCCTCTTTAAACAATCATGTACAAGTAAAAACCCTCTCACATGAGATTCCTCTGTTTTTACAGGTGTGTGAAATGTTTCAGAGGAAATGCTGTACAAAAAGCATAATGTAAAAACATAAAATGGTTTGAACTTATTGTTCATATTCAGCCAATTTTTTTAGGGACTATCACCTATATTTTGACTTTTGTTTGAGCACGAAAAAGGATACACAAATTTGGGAGAACAAAAACTACAGCGACGGGCTAGTAAAGGCTCACACATGTAAGAAGCTCCCTCAGTGAGGGGGGGGGGGGTATACCCATGTCTCTAAATTTCAAATACAGCCATCTTGCATTTTGAGGAGTACGCCATGTCACTGTCGGTATTTATCAGTTATCCATCTTGGTATTGTTTGTCACAATTAATTACTTTCATCGAGTCTTATGTTGCTGTTTCTAGGCCATATCGTTTGTCAGGATTTTACCCTGACATGGCTTTATATTAGTTATTTGTTATTTAATAGTTTTTTTAATCTATTTATATTTTGGCGTAAATTTAACTGTTATCTGAGTCAGCACTACATGTATGCTGTGAGCAGAGGCTCTTTAATCTTCTTAAATAACTCGAAAAAGGAAGTCTCTTCCTCTTTATTTTCCTCTTCCCTTTGAAGATCAAAGGGCCCCAGCTCGCAGGTTAATCCAGCTCAATTTGACCATCTTTGGAAGTGTAACTCTCACTAGGTAACTAAAACACAGGAAAACTTGAACCTTCTACAGTTCTAAACAGGCAGATGAGGACGTGATCAATTTTTGCAAAAATTCCCGTTAAAACCTGAAAGTTGAAAGTTGATTGCTTTAGAATTTGTTCAGCTAATTACACCTCGAAAAATTTAAAGATGTTCAACTTATGCAGCTACAAGAAAGGAGAAGTACGTGTCAGAATGACCGTACCGTTCCCTGACATGCAGCACCGAAACAACACGTGCGTACACATATCAAAATTTGCTGGTACTGACTGCAGACTTGCCTTTTTAAGCAGCCTTTGCACATCTCTGAGTTTGTTCTTCAGGGATTTAGGCTGCTTATTTTTGTTGGCACCTCCTTGAGCAGCCTTTCCAGAGGAACGGTTCAAGCCCTGCTTCCTTGGACCCATACGTTCTTTTGCTCGTAAAAAACATAAAACTGAGCCCGCGGTATCTGATTCAGCGTTTACCTCTCACAGAAAGAAAGGCTCTATTTAATTTATCACAGGATAGCATAATTGCAGCTCTGGATCACGTGGCTTATCTTAGCCCAAAATTATGGGCTACAACCCTAAAGAAACAGATAAAATCATATATTGGAACTACCATTTTTGGGGTCAACAATTTTAAAACTCTTAACCATGCGAATTTATGGTGGTTTGAACAGTGATGTATAGTGGAGTGCAGCAATGGACTGAAGTCGCCGGAGCGCAAGGATTGTTGTCCAGCATTTTTTTTTTTTCAGTACAGTCAAACCTGTATTAAGTGGTCGCCATTTGGGAGTGGCTTACTGACCGCTTAATACAGTTAAGGTTTGACAAAAGTGAGAGTTATTAAAGAAAATGAAGGTAGTCAAAGAGCGAATTATCCACCCCACGACAAATTGACGTTCACCTGCTTCTACCTCTTCTTGGGCCAAAAGAAAAAAAGTTAAAGACCACTTGACGCCATACACAGTGCGACTTGTTGCACTATGATGCTACTTCTTCTCAAAGTGACCGTTTAAACTTTTCGGAAAAGGTGACCGCGACCGCTTCATACAGGCCAGTTTTACGGGACTTTAGTGACCGCTTAATGGAGATCCGCTTTTTAAATACAGGTCTGACAGTATTACATAAAACTCTTATAATTGTCCAGACATTCCGACAACAATACAATCCTAGTCTTTTGCGTCAGTCACTTCAAAATGAGCTCTTCAGCGTTTTTTCGCATGCATTTTTTATCACCGTATTTTAGGTGTATCCCACAATCAGGTCACGTGCCTGCGAGATAATTTCACCATTTTCAATATATTCAAATTCATATTTGGCTCCGAGTTTGCTCCGGGTTGGTGGAATAAGACAAAAGTAATGTATTATTCATTATTGAGCCCCAAAATGATTTCTTTTGTTTTATACCCCAAGCCTCGCAGCCAAGTAGAAAATTTTAATATATCAGAATTGGTCTATTAACCTTTTGTATTGTGCTTTCTGGTAAAGCACTATCTCAGCCGTCTGTCCGAAAGGTTATTTCTATTGTTCTCGTAAGTTCGCTAAAGCCTGTTAAACGTGAGCCAAAAAAAAAAAATGGCGAGATGACTCTCATCACCGTTTCGTTTGCCTCTGTTTATTTTGCAGAGAAGACAACGTCAACGAACCTGAAAACAAGAAATCTTCCGCAAGAAAACAATGGGTCCGCCCTATCTTGCAAGATAGGTTTTCAGCAACGTTTTTCCAAGCATTATTCTTCATTTCACGGTCTTTAAATTCCCCTGAGGTTTTTTTTTGTATAAAACAGGGAACCGTTTCGGAGAAAGCCGTTTGTGCCTGACGGAGACTAAGTTCTATATATATAGTATTTGAGACGCTTTGATTGGTTCTTTGTTTTGCCGTTTTGTCCAAGGTTGTATAGCCGGGCTCCCCTGGGCCCTTCCCCTGGATCCGCCGCTGCAATGTATCACCATCAAATATTTTGAAAACTTTTAAATAATTGATAATCTTTCTATAAAAATATATGTACGGTCTTAAAGTTTTCAGCCCCCGGCACAACAAGGTAAACTCCTGGGTGGAAATAAGGCAAGCAATGCATGGAGCTGCTTACGTCCCCTTTAGGGGGGAGGGGGAGGACCGGAGGGGGGAATTTATTCTGAGTGAGGTCAGTTTACTCAGTTCAGATAACTGCTCATACAAAGATCGGTATGTAATCGGCCCCTGTCGGTATTTTGCTTGCAGTTGTGTAAAGGTGCTATGTTTTATTTTTTTGTAAAAAATGGTCAGATGGAAAGTTTTAAAAATCCGATCGTGTCAAAGACCGCCGCAGGCCGTTAAGGACGTTAAGGGGTCCTTTTGTGTGTGCCCCCATTCAATTCCGTAGATAACAAAGCCCGCGGTAAATGTGACAGCGTTCAACCAGCATCTTGTTAGACCCCAGGCTTCGGACGTGCCATTTTCCGGGAAACCCGGAAGCAGGATATTTCCCTTAAAACCGATCGAAGCACCCGGTTTTCTTGTGCTTTTAACTTGTATTAGTGCGTAGAAGTCTAGCCATTGTAAGATGTCAATGTTTGCCTAGTTTTGTTCGATTGTGCGGGCAGGATTTGAACATCTTATACAGCAAAAGTGGGTCCTTTTTGTGGCCTTACATAATTGTGACATAAAAGTTTTTCGCCACGTACTTCAGTGCCAACTTCCGTATCAGGAAACTTTATAACAGTCTAAAGAACGAGCTTTATTCACAAGCCGGCCGGTGGAATGGAAAGTGACGAATATGGTGAGTAATTGTAATTCGAGATTTTTGCCTGTAGGCCGCATATCTTGCCTCAGAACGCCTTTATATATTTATCCGTCAAATGGTTGAGAATTGCTTCCCCCCGGGATTAAAGAAGACTGACTTAATTCATAAGCCATTCAAGCTTTGGGTTTTAAAACAATCCGGTGGTAAGCCTGACATGTCAGTATGTCACGATCACAATTTCGCTTTTGGTTACAGCATCTGGCTTCTTTTTCCGGGTGTTCGGTCATGCATGTGTAACTTCAGTATATTTAGTATCTACAGCAGATAGTGCTTCAGTAATTAATTTACAGGCGAATCAATAGTCTTCATCATAATGCTATGTATGTGTGTGTTTATACTTGCTCAAAAGGGGAAAGAGATAGACAGCGACATATTTATTTTTTAAATCTTTTAGCTGTAAACCTTTTAGCTCTTTCTAGGAAGTTGTAAGGGAAAGCCCCTGTGACCATCTCTGCCCTTTCATTTTCTAGAAAGGACTCGAAGAAAAAGCAAAAACAAAACAAAACAAATGAACGGGTGTTTCATTATCTCAGGTGAACTGTCGGGATAAAAATGACCAGACTTCTCACTAAAAGAAAAACGATAGAAATCAATAGTTCAAGCAAGTCAAGCAAGACATATTAGTCGTTATATTTCTGGAAATTTATCGTGACTCTCGTCTCCCTCCTCCTCGGACAAGGGACTTTCCGGAATCAGTTGAAAAAAAGAAAAAAGTACCGAAAGAAATGAACCAGAAACAAACACACTGGAGATAAGGACTTCTACTTCCTGTTTTGGACGAATGCGTTATTTGTCTGACGTACTGATGTTTGAGTGAGTGGCGTTACCCGAGTGACAAGGGTCTGATAAAAGCGTTCATTACGAAAGGATTATCTTCTATATCGGGTCAGGTCCTGTCCCATGCATCTTACATAACTGGCCGGTGAAAGTGTTGTTCAAGGTGTTTGTCATATCTGGTACGTTCTCCTGTAGCGACTATTATGAACTGCGGAAGTTTATTTATGGATAAGAAGATCGCTTGGGGTCCCCAATATGGTTTTCGGGATCCGGGATTTGCCTCTTATTTGAAGGCCAGAATTCGGGATGCGATTCGGGATTGAAAGTTTGCAGGGGATGCAGGAAATTACGGGATGTAGCGAGAATTTGGTTAGGGATAAGGGGATGAAAGAATCCTATTAGGCCTCTGTAAACGATAATGTTGGAGGGTAAGGGAACCTTAAAAACGTACAAGGGGGTGGTCTACAGCGGATTTAATTAAAAGGGATGATAAGATCCTCCAAAAAAGTAATAAAATGGAAGCTTTGGTGTAACCTCAAATGAGCCAAATACATTTGGAAATTTCGCTTCACTGAATTGGTTAATGAAATTTGGAGAAAGGGAGAGTTTCGGCTCTTTCTAACGATTTGTCATGGGGCGATCCGCGATATATGGGAAATCATGTAAGGTATCCCTTTATTCATTAACAATTGTTTTACTTTCGGGGGAATGGGAGAGCACCGAATGCAAAAAACCTTTGTAGATCATGAGCAATGCTTTTTATATTGCAGAAGATGATAACAGCCACGAAGAGGAGGAGGAAGAAGAAAGTGGAAGCAATGAAGGCGAGGATTTCGATATCAGGGACTTTGTAGTCGCAGACGAAGAAAGAAGAGGCAACGAAGACGGCGAGGAGGAGGAGTTTACAATGGATACAGCCTCCTCCAGGAAAATTGAAGAAGAGGATCCAGAAAAGCTGGAGGAAAAGCTAAAAAAGCTCGAGGAAGTTTTCTCCTGTGTACCGAGGGTTCTCATTAAAAGAGTTCTTTGCCGCGATGATGTTAACGGAGACCTGAACTTGGCAAGTCAGAGATTACAAGAATTTCAGGACATGGAAAATCCACACGACCTTTTCAAAACCCCGACGAGCAATCCGCCCACTGCTTGGGGTCCCCCGCCTGCACCGTTAGAATCAGCAAACAAGGGGAGTGAAAAATGCGAATCACAGGGCTCTCAGAAAAAGAGAAGGAGAAGGGGAGGGAGAAGAAAGAAGAACAATGAAAATCAAAACAAAACACAGGAAGAACAAGGAGAAAGGAATCTGAGAAATAGTTTCGACAGTTATGAACCAAACGTACCGCGTGGGAACGATCGCGGTACAAGACAAGGAGGCCGAGTGTTTGGAGGAAGGCCAAGAGGAGGATTTAGACCCAGAGGAGGGTTCGTCCAGGCACACGAAGATTTCCAAGAATACGTAGACGATATTCCCTATGGATTTCCAGTGGGTGACTACATGTTTCAGAGCCAGAGGGGACGTGGTAACTGGAGAGGACGATGGAATCAACCAAAACCCCAACCCAAACCCAAGGGTCGTGGTCGCGGGAGAGGACGCGGTGAAAACGTTTTTGAAAGCGATTCATTTTTTCAAGGCCAACCGCAAGTCTCTCAAAGGGGGCGAGGAAGAGGTCAGTTTAGACGCGGACAAGGAGGCGGCGGCCAAGGTCCAAACTGGAGACGTGAAGGTTCAGTTTCTCTAGCAGCTGAAATATACTATGACGAGCTTGACTTTTCTGGTAGAGAGGAAATTTATGCAACTAGACGAGACCAAGGGAAAAGGGGGAGGTCTGGACCCAACATTAATAGAGGGCGTGGCCAGTTAGGATTAAGACGAGCCCAGAGCCTTTCTAGTGGAATGGATGTTCAAGATTCTCATACAAACCACAATACAGGAGGAGACGCAAAGTTTGAGCCAAAGAAACTGCTTATTTGCGGGCTGAGTGAGTCGACGACACAAGACGGAGTTTTGAACTTTATTGAGGCGATGAGTGGTGAAGAGGTGGAGACAGTAGAGATGAGTAAAAGCAAAGCTCTGGTTACAATGACTAAGGATATAACAAGTAAGTCCTGCTACTAATAACAAATGAGCCGTTTTCAGTTACGTGCCAAAAAGTAGTTTATTAGTAAGGTCAGGTATGCAATAAGCTGCTCAAGTATATTCAAGCAACTATGACTTATCCTATTTTGCTTCAAGGCTTGATTGGCCATCGGTAGTTCGACCGTGAGTTCGTGCTGTGATTGGCCAGTCAGTAATTTCCTTGACTTTAGATTTACGGCCCCGCACTCAGCCAAGAACCGTGTACTCTACTGTGTACAGAACTCTCACGAAGAGTTCTCATAATGCCGCTTACCTGCCTGTCATATAGCCACCGCTATTGCCTTGGATACTGTCCGATACGGAGAAAGAAGTTCTTCGAAGTTCTTCTCCGGCGGCAAAGACCTGTGGTGGCCCTTGTTGCCGGCGGTGTAAGTGTCAGAATATGTATCAAAGGCAGTACTGGGGGGCTATCAGGTAGCAGGTAGATTGGTGGTGCGGAATAATGATAACCAGACTTTCGTCAGATAGAACTTGAATAGATCCAACGTTCTCCGATTTCCATAGATTGAGGCAAATTAAATATTTTAAAAAAAATCAGAAATCTAACATCAATAACTTACTAGAGCTAAAGGGGTTTTCGTCTCACTGGGCTTTCTGCTTCGTTAAAGTTAACAATCCTGCAACGTTTTTGTCCTTTCACTCTCAAGTGTGGTAAAACCAATTAAAACCCTCAAGAAATCTCCCGTTCCAGTATTTCTTTTTGCGAGTGAAAGACAAGCGCATGATACTTCTAACGTCGTTGCTGGGACTGTATCACCCAGAAGACTAAGGAGAAGTTGAACTTGCATTTTTTCAGACGTAGCTGGTCAAATTTAGAAAAATCTGCGAGGTCCATATTCACCCGTAAAACAACTAAATTTAATGAAGTGATGGGCTAGTGGGACCTCCTGCAATTTAGACAATGTTTTGCCTGGAGCTGGAAACTGTCTTTTGTAATACGAGTGATTCATTTCCTCGCATTTATGACCGTGGACTATTCTCTAGGCGGTATGGGTGACTCAGCAAGGATGCTAAACTCATTATCAGAATCATATTTCAAGTGGCGCATCATTAGAGAGAACGATTGGATGAGTCTTGAATACCCAACTTTTTAATGTTTACTATGAAATACCTCCCAAAACGTCTGTTTTACTCCTGAGATCTAGACGACTCGATCGTTCAGCAGGCATGCAATCTGCGTTTTTGAGTTGAATTTTTCCCTCTAGCTTTTTTCGTCTATTACCTCGTGGAAAACCAGTCATAATAATATATGCCAGTAATTTGACATCTGTGCGATCCAAACTTGAATTTAATTAAAGCAGATTTTTCTTACACTTTATTCGTTAGATTTTCTTAAAATCAAGGAGAAGGGTGAGAGAAGAGGAATGGACTCTGCTCGGATTAAAATCCAACGCGTACCTGTGTGCAGGAGCATTCTCGTCAGCGGCATTTCAGACGACACCACCCAAGATGCCATCGAGCTGTTCTTTGAAAGTCCAAGGAACAATGGTGGTCCCGTGGAGACAGTGAGGTTTAAGCCTGAAAGTGGTCGAGCTGTGGTAGTGTTTCAGAATTCATCAGGTCAGAATTCAATCGCCCCATTAATGCTCGTTGTACATGTTTTGGTTATAATGGAGAAAACTACTACGTTTTGGCTTTCTCCTTTCTGGTAAATGCATGCTGTACCAGTTTTGATATTCTTATAGCAAAAGTTAATACAGTTGAACCTCCCGTAAGCGACCACCCAAGATGCGAAGACTTAGTTGTCGCTTAGAAGAATCGAACCACGGGGCTATCGTCCGAGAAGATGTACGGACACATCTACTTTATGGATGATGATTTATTGCATGCAATTTCTAAAATACCACACGGTTCCATGTTGATTCTTAAATTCTTTGTATATTCTAAGTAGTAGAGTACACACAGCGAACATAAGAGATCAGACAAATCGTCAAGTGGTCGCTTACAAGAGGTTAAAAACAATTGAAAATCATTTAACCGTACGCCCCAAATATAGTGGTCGCGGTCGTTTACGAGGGTTCCAACTGTAAGGCTTTGACTGGGAAAGTTTTGGCGTTTTGGATAGGCAGTCGCTTATACGAGGTTGTCGCACAGGGAGGTTCGACTTTATGCACAAAAACACACACACACACACATCCTGGCCAGAGATCGAGGGCGCCTTATTTCTCGAATTTTTTGACTTAGTACGAAAAGGAACCATTTTTTGCTATCTTAAAAAGCAACCACTTTTCGAGGGAGTCATTGTTTAACTAGCTTTCATTTTCTAATTAACAGATATGGAAAGAGTCTTAGCTAGACAGAATGAAAGGCCACTTGTTTTAAATAAAGCTGAACTCACTGTCAGAATCTTTAACGATTTACTGGAGAATGACGATGACGTTGCAATTGACGTTTTGGGTGACAAGCAAAAGGAGGCGGAGGACAGCCATAGCACATCAGCGAGGCAGCGGTTTGAGGTTAAAGCACAGGAGCTTCACATAGCTGTGGACCCGGATGTGATGGAATACGTCACAACCACATTACTCCATGACCAACTTAAAATGGCGTTGGCTACGAAGACGTGTGAAATTAATTGGAAGCTAAACAACAAAACAGCCGTTCTATTTTACCGCGGACAAGATAAAAGTGATTTGTGGCAGTCTGAATGTATTGAGGAGGTACAAACTTGGCTTGCGAAATTTACAAAGCAAGATGTTCAAGTGAACAAGGATTTCTGGGAAGCCGTGAAAGCTCAGATAACAGACATTCGTGCCTGTTTCGGTGTTGAACCTCCGCTGGTTAAAATTATCGATGATTCTTTCGTGGTAAGAATTGTTTCCCTGAGTTCAGATACAGAAGATTTGAAAAAAAAATTGAAAGCACAATTAGAGGACATATACCGGAAGGAAACCAGAAAAATGTATTTGAAGAAAACGGAAGTAGTTCCTGTAGAACATTTAACTTTGTTGAAAAAGATCCGCTTTGTGGAAAAACTTCAAGAAAAAAACAAAGAACTGGAGATAAAAATAGACACTGAAGAGGAGGAAATCTACTTTGAAGGCCCACAACCACAGTTCTTGGAAGCGACTATGAAATTCCACAAACAGTATTCGGGCATGGTTGAAAAGAAATTAAGCCTGTCAAAAAACATTTTGGAAATTTTGTCTTTAGATGAAGGGCTAGAGAAAGTCAAATGTGAATTAGAGAAAAACAATGTGGAGGCTGTTTTCGTGATCGATAGCGAGGCTCGGATCATAGGCACGTCAGCTGCGCATGCAGACAAGGCTGCCAGTCTTGTAGGTAAGATGATTTCGGAAGAAAAAGTCCGAGTGGATGCCAACAGTCAGCATCTTTTAAAAACCACAGAGTGGCGCGAAATATGTGAGCAACTCAACACCATCTCAACTGTCCGGGTGTATCGGAACAACTGGAATGACACCTACGTATCCGGGTTCAAAGAAGATGTGCATGAAGCAATAAAAACGCTAACTACGTACCTAGATGATAACTGTATCCGAGAAGAGCAAATGAAATGTTCTTCTAAGTTAGTCCGAAAATATCTCTCTGAGCTTCGTCAAGATGACTTGTCTTCAATTGAAGTTCAACTCAAGGACTTTGAGGTCAAGATTCAAACAGGAAGAGGAGATGATGAATTTGTCATTGGGGGAAACAAAGAGGGGATAAAACGAGCGAAAAGAAAGCTGCAAGCTCTCGCAGATAGTACCGAATGTGAGATTTTCGACGTGAAACAGCCAGGACTTAAGAAACTTTTTGCCAACGGAAACGGCGAGACCCTTGTAGCAACTGTGGCAAAAGATCACGCATGTGTTATCCAGGTCCAGAAACAATTTGATGTGCAGACTCCTGTCAAAAAATCTGATTCATCAAACGACGATTACGATGATAGTGAGGAAGAGGATATGGCGGCTGCAGCCAGCAGCGCGTTTCCTTCCACTTTTGTCATGGGAAGTGGGCACAAAATTTCGTGGAAATCAGGAAACATCGTAGCGCAGCAGGTCCGTTCGGTGCCCTAAATACTAGTATAAGCTATAGATTATTTCCCTGGGCTGTTTGAATTAAAAAAGGATTGAATTGACCTTGGCTGTAAAATAAATAACTTCTCTTCTCAGTATTGCCACGTCTAAAGCTTTGTTTTGCTGAAAACCTAAATGGGTTTTCAGATTGTTGCGAAGGAGTAATTAGTTATCCGTATTTAAGAATAGCCCCCTCATCGTACATTATTTCATTCCCTGTCAGTATAAAACCGACTACTCATTTATGATCCATCATAGTCTTCATAGACTATAGCAAGCCATTTATCAACATTTTACACGTAACCATACTACCCGAAAAAAGGAGTGGGTTTTCTTAAATTATAATACTTTATGTGTGGGGTTTGTCGTTGAAGCCTGGAGTCCTTAGTCTTTTTCACTCGACAAGTATCTGTAACTTTGCTGTCCTACTCTTTTTTAAGGATCCAAAATCCCCAACCTGTCCCGGACTTACTATGAACCAGGAACGCCTGATCGCTTACACGGCTCATCAATTTTCCAATAATGATATCCTATTCTAGTAAGGCTATCCCAGGCTAATTTGCATGAAATTACAATTGTTCCCTTCAGAGCGACACAAATCTATTTTCCCAAATATGGCAGTAACGTTTGTTGTATTGTTTTTAGCTAAAATTTCCGTCTGTGTGACGTCCAGTTATAACTAGCCATCGCCAATCGCAACAGATACAGTCGACTCCCGCGAATTCGAACCTTCAAGGGGAATAGAAAAAGATTCGAGTTATCGGGAGTTCGAGTTATCGAGGGTAAAATTATATAGAAGATGATCTGAAGGGAAATGAAAATTGCTTCGAGTTAGCTGCAAGTTCGAGTTATAGAGGGTTCGAGTTACCGGGAGTGGACTGTAGAAGCAATCCAGTGTACCTAATTAAACGTGTATGCTTACGTCGCTGTTATTGGTAGTATGGTACTGCAAGGCTAACCTTAAATGATATCGTGGAGCTTTTTAGCCTTTATGAACTCTCTTTTTTGTTTGACTTTAATTGCAGGCTGACATTCTGGTCAGTTCACAAGGTGCATGCTCCCAGGCGATCGTCAATGTGGGTGGGCAGGCAATGAGGCAAAACTTGGTAACTCCAAACACTGGTGACATCGCAGTTACTCCTGGATATAACCTGGGCTGTAATCACGTGATCCATACGAACTGTTCCAAGTGGCATGGTGGAACGGGGGAGCAGGTAAGGGATAATTGGAACCCTAACTTATTCTAATGAGCATTATAAGGCATCCTATCCAAAAAGCCACGGAGCTGACACGAATCATGAGCCCTCAATTTTTTCGGTTAAAAACATGTCAAAGAAAATTTTGGTCGACACGTATCACATTTGACAATTTCACACCAGCTTGGAACTAGATTTCCACTATTTACCACTAGCAAAACGCCAAGGAAACTGGGCCGAGTTAACTTTCGCAAAGACTTCTGTGGGCTGTTATCAGGGACAGCGAGAAAATTGGCCTATAGTTGACAGGTGCATCCTTACAGTCCCCTTCTCGTTTTTAAAATGGCGAATAGATAGTTGAGATAATGTTAATCAATCAACTCCTTAAGGGTTTTTTCAGATTGTTTATCCGTACAAAACCAATTATTGTCAAGCGTGCAGTCATGGTTCATGTTTTATTTAAGGTATTACGAGGCATTATCCAAATGTGTCTTCAGAAGGCGGATGAACTCGGAGGAGCATCAATAGTCTTTCCAGTCATAGGCACTGGAAAGCTCCACTTTCCTCAAGACATAGCTTCCAAGATCATGTTGGAAGAAACCATCAACTTTTGTCAAAATAATCCGTCATCTGTGGTAAAAGATATTCGATTTGCCGTGTTTCAGCAAGATCAGGCTTTAACCGCTGCATTTGCGCAAGAGTTTGATAAATTGCAATCCAAGTACAGAATTCGTCCCGGATACACTATGGGTGGTTTTTTAAGGAATCTACGGTCCAAATTAGGAAGAGTCCATCAGAACCCAGCAAGGCCAGCAGTCGGTGTTAGTGTGGAAGTTTTGCAGGGAAATTTGTGCCAGGAGGCAACAGATGTCATTGTTAACCTCAACAGCAAAGATATGAATATGGATAGCGCCGGAGCATTGAGCAAGGCGGTGAAACAGGCGGCTGGTCAAGTTGTTCAAGACGAGTGCTATCAACTGGGACATCAAACAGGTGGATCAGTGGTAGTTACCAGGGGTGGAAATCTTACAGCCCGTAATATCATCCACTTGATACCAGATACTGCCGACAAAAATCACTTGCAACAATGCGTGGAAAAGTGTCTTGGTGTGGCAGAGACTCGTGGTTTTCAGTCCATCTCATTTCCAGCGGTAGGAACGGGATCTTTTCACATGTCAGCGGCTGATTCAGCCAGCCTAATATTTCAAGCTCTCAGTAATTTTAGTGCTCGTTTCAACGTCATCAAAAAAGTTAGAATCGTGGTGTTCCAAGCTCCTATGCTTCAGGCATTCCAACGAGAACAGCAGCGTCATCCGCTGTATTCTAATCAGGGCCATGTCTTTAAACCTATGGCCAGGCAGGGCCTAGCCTATCCACGGGCTAGTAGGCAGAGAGGCTTGAATATTAAAGTAGTAAGTGGTGATTTAACAAAAGAGAACACAGACGCCATTATGAACATTAACAGCACTGACATGAACATGAGCAACGCTGGTGATCTAAGCAAAGCTATCTTAGCAGCTGGTGGTATGCAGATCCAACAAGAATGCAGTCAATATAGCAATCAACCTGCTGGGACAGCGGTGATGACTGGTAGTGGAAATTTAGCAGTACGCCATATAATCCATATTATTCCAGGTATTGGCTGACTTTTATTTATTTGATGTTGTTACGCAGGAAATTTGACCTCCAATAGACCATGCAACGTATTGTCGACCCTTAAAAATGATAAAATCTACAAACGAAAAAGACGATTACGGAATTTTTCTAATTAACCACTGTCACATTACCCAAATACTCCTCAATGCGAAAGTGGCGAATTATCGCGTAGCGATATTCTCTCAGACTCCTCACGGTGAATGTAACCGTTACAAAAGAAGTTGCCTGTGGAGGAGGCTATTGTCAGGGATAGTAGGGGGATCGAAATACTCGAGTGCGCTTGAAAATTTGGCTCCACGAGAAAGTTGACACAGTAGGGGAAGACAGGACTGATAGAAACCGTTGAGCTACTTGTAATCTTGTTTACTCCTATCGCCAATTGTAGTCCAACGATGAAACATTCCAAACCTTCAGTTTTCTTGCCGCTCTTGAATGTAAAATTCAACAATATTGTATCACATTTTTTGTTCATTATTAAATGTCAAACTTATTTTCATTTTTGTCTTGCAGCCTCCCAAGATAAACAGCATCTTCAGACAAGTTTGGAAGCTGGCCTTCGTCTAGCAGATCAAAACAACCTTCAAACAATATCAATTCCATGTGTAGGCACTGGTGGATTTGGTCTGACGGCAGCGGACTCGGCTCAGGTAACATTCCAAGCTCTCAGCTCCTTAAGAGGAAGTTGTCAAAACCTTCGCAACGTGCGTGTCGTTGTCTTTCAAGCTCAAATGGTTCAGGAATTTTTGTTGGCGCAACAGAGACAGGCAATGCAGGATATGGATGAACAAGAGAGTGACTCCACTGCAGATGATGAAGTTGCTGAAAGGCCCAGAATTGCTAGGCAAAGAAAAAATACCGCAACTAATTCGAGTTCAACAAGTGACCATTCTGTGAAAATCTTAGTGGTTGGGAAGGATAGAGGAAGTGTCGGTAAAGCAGTAGGCGCTTTGAAGAAACGTTTCTCTGAAGCTTGCACTACTCAAAAAGTCGAAAATGAAACCGTCAGCAAACTGTCACCAAAGCAAATTAACAATCTTAGAAGGAAAGCCAAAGAACTTGACGTCAAACTCGAAATTGAGGTTGATGTTGATCGCATTGTGGTGAAGGGTGGCCCAGTTGAAGTGCCTGGCATGGTCGGGCAGATTTGGCAGGAGATTAACGAGAGAAATAAGAAGATACAGGAGGAGGAGCAAGCAATGATGGTTTCAAAGAGCGTAGAATGGAGTTATGAAATACAAGGCGGGAAAATGGTGTTTAGCCCGAAGGCAAACGGAAAGCTTGAGATGGCACACATCAAAGAACAGCNCGCAACGTGCGTGTCGTTGTCTTTCAAGCTCAAATGGTTCAGGAATTTTTGTTGGCGCAACAGAGACAGGCAATGCAGGATATGGATGAACAAGAGAGTGACTCCACTGCAGATGATGAAGTTGCTGAAAGGCCCAGAATTGCTAGGCAAAGAAAAAATACCGCAACTAATTCGAGTTCAACAAGTGACCATTCTGTGAAAATCTTAGTGGTTGGGAAGGATAGAGGAAGTGTCGGTAAAGCAGTAGGCGCTTTGAAGAAACGTTTCTCTGAAGCTTGCACTACTCAAAAAGTCGAAAATGAAACCGTCAGCAAACTGTCACCAAAGCAAATTAACAATCTTAGAAGGAAAGCCAAAGAACTTGACGTCAAACTCGAAATTGAGGTTGATGTTGATCGCATTGTGGTGAAGGGTGGCCCAGTTGAAGTGCCTGGCATGGTCGGGCAGATTTGGCAGGAGATTAACGAGAGAAATAAGAAGATACAGGAGGAGGAGCAAGCAATGATGGTTTCAAAGAGCGTAGAATGGAGTTATGAAATACAAGGCGGGAAAATGGTGTTTAGCCCGAAGGCAAACGGAAAGCTTGAGATGGCACACATCAAAGAACAGCCAACAGTACAAATATCCCTGCTAGGTGATAAATTTGACATTAATTTGAAAAATAAAACGGGCCGCGGACAGCAGAATGGTAAAACAATTACACTAATCAGAAAGGTCAAGGGAGCTGAAGAAGGTTAGCACATTCAAACACGGGAACTTATTAAATAAGCTATACAATACACTGCTTAAGTAGGGAACTGATACAATCATTTCTGTATTTGATGCCCGACATTAGAAAATTCACCAAAGTTAATAGGACGAAGATACCAGATCGCGCCTAATCTTTTAACGGATATCTGCGAAACACAGGGTGGCATCTGGTTAGGAGGAAGCCACTTACCAAATCTTTGAAAGGCCTTATTTGCCCATGAACAGAGGTTAATCCTTACAGCATAGAATGAATTGAAGCGAGACCGTTTTCCACTGCAGAGATCTGGGGCCGGTGGCTGATATTTTCCTTCAACGCTTCTCAATGTCAGCCAAAACCCCCACTGACTTCCCTGATTTTCACGGAAGTCTATCACGGGGTATCCAGGTGAACTCCCATGGGCCTCAACCGTTATCCTTTTGGCTATCTAAATGTAAAATCAAGAGTTCTAGTAGTATTTTTTTTATAATACCACTGGGAATTATAATAAATAAAACAGACAAGGTGGCGTATTCCTACAGTGAAATTTCCATCTCATAGTATCCTTAGATTCTCTTCGAAGTACGGCCAATTGAAAACTCCCTAAACCAGTAATGTTACTTTCCCAAAGCAAAATAAAATTAAAAACACTGATTCTTTGTCCTTAAGGAACTTCTTTTCCGAGCACGTGGGCTCCAATGCCACGCCCTGATATGGAGGTACATACTGTGACTCTCGCACCGGTCTCCTCTGAGTATCAAAGTGTCCTGAGCAAATTTCAAGCAACCGCTAGGGGAATGCATATCCAGAAAATTGAGCGAATTCAAAATCCTCATCTTTACAAGCAGTACATGGTACGAAAGCAGAAGATGGATAAAGACAATGGAGGAAACAATGAACGACAGCTGTTTCATGGAACCGACGCTAGAAATATAAGTGCTATAAACACACAGGGATTCAACAGGAGCTTTTGTGGGGCACATGGTAAGTTACAACCGCTGAAAAGCATTGTGTACTCGTATATTATTATATTCTTATGAGTGAGACTAAGTATAGCAGTACCACTGTATGTTTACATACACATGCACTATTCAGAACTGGCTCGACGGGTACAATTATAGGCACTTTTAAAGTACCCTTAAACGATATGATTTAAGACATGTATTCCCAAGAAGAGATATGCTAGTTATGTACTCTACAACTTGAAGTAGCATTTTGAGTGTTTGTAGGAAACTTAGTTGTTGTAGACGTCGTCATAACACAATCGAATTAGACACTTACAAGTAGGGGTTTAATTAGTGACTGTTCGAACAAAGGAATCCCGTGATTACTACAACTATCTCATTAATTGCTCTTTTGTTTGTTTGTTTTTTTTTCTAGGAACTAAATATGGACGCGGTGTGTATTTTGCCAGAGATGCTTCTTACTCAGCTGGATATGCAGGAAGTGGGATTGGGGGCCGCTTTATGTACCTTTCCCGGGTCCTGGTTGGGAAATATTGTGCAGGCAACTCTAGTATGATCGTTCCACCACCAAAGGACCGTTACAGACCAGAGATTTTGTACGAGTCAGTGGTTGATAACCCAGCAAATCCGTCCATCTTCGTTGTTTTCTACGATACTCAATGTTATCCTGAATATCTCATAACCTTTTAATCGTTTTGCTTTACTTCAGCAGATAAAAACGAACTTAAAGATAATCTAGAGTGTATAGCTCTTTCTTTATTTACTTAAGAAATCACTGTTTATAGAATTTAATCAAATGCAATTTTAATGACAACAGCAAGGTTGTAAGAAGAAGTTCAGTGTTAGCCATCTCTAAAGCCATGTAGATATGCGGTAAGAGTGTAGTTTTAGCGATTTTCATCGTCAAAGAAAACTGGTTCATGCTTAGGCTTAGGGGCTTAGGGTGTGTATATGGAATCAGAAACTCATAAGGGGTTGAAACATGTAACTCTCATATGTTTGCTTTGTCCAATGCTCGTGATTGTTCATTTTCGAAAGTACCATATTTGGAACGAGAAGAAGAGATAACTGACCAATCAAACTTCGTAAACGTGACGTAATTTTCCTTCAGGTTCCCGCGCCCGCTTAAAAAAATGGCCGACAAACGAGGGAAAAACTCCCGTAAGCCGAGAAAGCTTTCAAAGGTTGAAATCAGGAATATTACCGAAACACTGAGCAGTATATTATTGCCTCACCACCTGGGCCAAACGTAACATTATGAAACCCATTGACGGCCTCGCAACTTCTTGAAGTTCTCACTTCAAAAAACGATGCCTCCTTGACCCTCTGCACATGCAGTAAACTTATACTGCAAATAGGCTTTTAAAATTTTTATGTTAAAAGTCTAGAATAAACAGTGAAAAATATTTTCGAATAAAATTCATTAGCTGCGTATCGAAAATGTCCAAAACCTGAACCTGAAATCTTCGCAAAAAGTGATGCTTGTAATGAATGTGAGAAGCATCTTAAATTAAACTTAGATGTAGTAGTCGCGATCGTGTTTTGAGCTAATTTTATGACTGAACAAACTCAAAACAATAGACAGAGAAGCCGTTTCTTGAAAATCTTTATTCAAAGTCCAAAAAGTTAATCCTTTAAAGCAATTCGGAAAACACTATCTGGATCGTGGATCTGTTCACGCAAGTGACATCGGCTAAGCACATGGCAAAATTCAACACCAAATCCATCTCAAATCAGAGCACATTTTGTAATTTTTCTTTAGCGCCGAAGAGAAAAATTTATAAAACGTCTATGAAACATTTAAAAATACATAAATTCCCTTTCAAAAACGTAATTGTCTTGGCCATAGAGTGCAAAATGTACCTGAAAATTCAGCAAAAACTTCGCTGACTTGGTTGCATTTCAAAACAGACCATGGGCTCCGCCGTGAAGAAAACAAGGTTGAATTCCTCGAAGGACAATTTCTTGATGAAAAGCTTCCCTTTCTCCACAAAAAGAAAGCTGAGCATTCTTTTGAACTTTCTCTTTCCATTTTTTGTCTTTTAACGGTGTATTTTTAACCTTGAAATGCAGAACTCTTGTCTTAAAACATCTGCATGGTGATAGCGCAGCAGCCATTTTGCTGAAAATGGATATCCATCACTAAGATTTCCAAATATGGTCAAAATGAATATTCACAAGCATTGAACGCGAGTTACACGTTTCAACCCCTTATGGGTTTCTGATGGAATTTAATAGCTGATGCACAAAGGAAGTTTGGAAAGCACGAAAGAAGCGTAGGTATTACGAGTTGCTAATTGGTTATTACGCCTCGAGCAATTGTAACTTCTTGATTACTCTCCTCTCAACATGCAGAGTTGCCTACTTAATCAGGTTCTGATATATAAATTTCCAAAATGCGCCGGCTCAGTCTGAGCTAGTTCGTTTAACCACTTTTGTTCTTCGTTCATGTTTGACTGCAAAGATGGTTTAATCTTTAAAATGTCAGAAAGTTCTACACTGTTTTCTTTTTTATCGAAATACTTTGTGGAAATCAAGCGACACAAATCCAGGTTATATTAGACACAACTGAGTATGTTATCTCATGATATAGTCATACGGCCGTGCGTCTATTGTAGTTCTAGATCAGAATTATTGTGGTTCAATACAGACTTACTTGCCCTATGTATTACATGTATTTTTAGTACAGGGGCTAGCGGGGCTAAAGGCAGAATATGTAACTGAAACATAAAATAGCAATCACAGGGAGCTCGAGCACTTTTCAGAAAATTCATGCCATTCGCAATAAAATCGAAATCATTTACCTCACTGCATTTTTATGTCATCCTTTTGTCGCTTTTGAAGGAATTTGCATCAAAGCAAAGACAGTTTTCTGTTCCATTTCAGCGTTGTACTTTGAAATTGTTCGAAGAGACCGTCTTTCAGAACGACCAAAGAAAGACACAGATACCACAGACACACCGGTTAAATTAGTTGTTTTGATTTTAAATTGCTCTGGAATGACTAACAATAAAGCGCCTGGGAACCCTGTGTAACAGAAGGGGCAAATAAGTGGGCTCAGTATTTATAAGCATGGCCGAAGAGTTGATTGACTCTTAAGGTGACTCGACCCAGTTTTTTTTTTTTTTGGGGGGGGGGGGGGGG